AGCTCATGTGTACACTTCAGTTAATTTATGGACATATTAAACATGACATGCATGTTTGTCTTGGAACACAAACATGACTTTTACTGAAGCCTAAATGGTAAGAGCACATACTATTATTAAAATTACCACATATTTCTGATAAGGTCGATAAAATGCAAAAAAGAGCTCAAACTCTGGTGTTTTATCAGCAGAGTTTTTATCAGCAGCATCTTTTGTTGAATCTATTGACCAGCAAAAACTGATTTTTCTGTCTCTTCTATAGTCTACATAACTTTTGTAGCTGAAACAATTTAGTAATTAAACAGCCCCAGGAAAAAAACAAGAATCAAATGTCAGAATGGGTGGAAATCCTGGGATTATCTCATCTGCACAACCTCTTTATCAAATAACAGCTGAAATGCAACCTCAGTATGAAATACAGACAGTAATATAAGAGAACTCCTGAGTTGAATTCAGTCTTAACTGGGAAAAATTTGTCTTTGCTCATAGAACTGCCTTACCATCCACCTTTTATTGAACCCTGTGGCTCATTGGAGCTCAGAATAAAACCATGATTTTTCCTCATGTGTTAGGAAACTGAACTTCTCTACCCTGATCCACTTTGCCCAAAGGTCACAGGTAGATCACATCAGAGGTGAACTGGAGTCTTGTACCACATTTCTCATACAATACCACAAAAGAAGTGAACTTAATAGCAGCTCCTTGATTAGTTGAAAGTTTGACCACATTCTTTCTTGGATTTCATTATGTCAATTCATAACCTTTGCATTCTGTCAGTATTAAAAATGGTAATTTGAAAGAAAACAGATCTAGAAAAGTTTACTAATAGGAATATTTGATTTTTCAAGATCTTTTATTTCAAATTCTACCATAGACTAAGTTCACCACTTATCCAAAAATTACATGAAGTTTTAGCATTCTCCCTAAAATACAAACAGCTATTATCCCACAATCTTAAAGCATGAGAAACTTAGGATCAAGATGAACCACTCTGCAGAAACTGTAAGGACTAGAGATGGGGAGGGGAATCCAAATACTTTTTGCGGGGGGAGTATGTGCTCTGTTTGCATGTTCCCTTTGTTCCATTCATTTCACCAGATGTTTACAGAACACCTGTGCTGTGCTCAGTTATCACCTCTAAGCAAACAGAATAATGTTTGGAGTGTGACTCACACCTTGAAGTTCACTTCCTTTTAGAAAAATTATCTTGTATTCTGTAAATTTTAGCAGGGAAGAATCTTACTGCAATTACTCAATGCCTAAAATTTGAAATGAATAGAAATAAGACCATATACTGGGAACACTTCAATATTGAAATGTTCTTTCTGAATTACCACTTTTCTTCCTCTTAAGTCACATATCACTGACCCACAGCAAAACTCCAGGTTCCTATCAGTTGTTCCAATCTGGATCAAAGCTGGTTGCTTAGTGGCTGGACAGATCCTGATAGAGTACCTACTATGTGTCAGGCACTCTTTCAGTCTTGGCTCAGAGTTAAAAGTAGGATGGACCAAGTATTCCACAACTCCTCCATGTTTGTGGGGGTGGGCAGAGAAAAAAAAACACATGAAAAGCAGGATGATTTTAATTAGTCATAAACATTATGAAGGAAACAAAAGACCTACAGAAATCTAAAAATAGGCATGAGGACTGGATACCATGATTGATCAGGAGAACAGGTTCTCCAAGGAGGTAGCATTTAAGCTCAGATCCTGAAGAGGGTTCCAACTCTCAATATTCTCCGAGTGAAGTCATGAGACCCCAGCTGAAAGAACCACCAGGATTTGTGCTGCCAAGGCAAGGTTACTCTGTTCTTAATTGATGGCCAGACTTCCTAGAGACTGAAATGAGTAACACTGAGGAAAGGTGGGGCAGCTACTGGAGACAGAAGCAACATTGTGATTTAGTTCTTTGGTGGATTGCTCATGCTTTCATCAGTAGCATAACCACACCTTAGTTCTTGGAGAATGCAGAGTGCGAGCCAGGGCACTCTGAGCCTGGAGCTCCAGTACCAGACCAGCAGCCAGGCGTGTGAACCAGCACACCCAGCGCTCCCACACAGGGAAGCTGTTTACTCTTCTCAGAGGACACAGGGTTAGACACAGTTAAATCCATAATCATTATCAGCCAGATCAACTCGTTCTAACCGACCTACTTTCGTCATATTTTTCCCCAACAATAGTTCAACGGCCTGTGAATGTTTTGCCTTCAGAAGCAAAAGATTTTCTTTTTTAAATAGATCATTTCATGGTCAAAGGAAGCTTTTGTTGCTTCACAGTCTTACTCCCCTTTTATTCGTATTGCTCGATAAAAGTTTTAAAAAGTATTTGATGCAGCCACTGTGTAAGTAAAACAAAAATTGCTGACAGAATATTTATTCTAAGTACATGTTAACCCCAACAGTGACATGGTTTCTGGGAACATATATTTGTGACTATATTACGAGATGAACTTTCACAGATGCTAAAATTTTGACTATTTCTCAAAAATCAATCAGTGCTTAGAAGAGACCTTAAGATATAGTTTCAGGCTGGGCATGGTGACTCACGCCTGTAACCCAGTGACTCTAGAACTAAGGAAAAGGATCACAAGTTTGAGGCCATCCTCAGCAACTTAACAAGATACTTAGCAACTTAGCGAGATGGTGTCTCAAAATGAAAAATATAAAAAGGGCCGGGGATGTAGTTCAGTACTAAAGTACCCCTGAGTTCAATCTCCAGTACTACTACTACTACTAATAATAATAATAATAATAATAATGATACAGAGTTTCAGGTAAGACATGGCTTCTTTCTTTGGGGAAAGTCTAAAAGGAACAGTAATTATTACCACTATAAGATTGTATAAAATAAAGCTCATTTTAAGTTATAAACCAAACAGACTATAGAGATAAAATGGGCCAGCAGGACAGGCTAGAGTCAGCAAGGAGTGCTTGACAGAAGAAATAGAACTAGAACGTGAAGAATTTGAAAGAGTGAAAGTGAAGTACTTTAAGTGAGGGAAAGATCAGGGCACATGCCCAAAGCAGAACTTGGGCTGAAACACTTCCATGAACAGGGTGGAGATGTGAGTATATGCAGCTGTGGTCCATTTGGGGAGCTATTTGGAAATGGTCAGATTGATATTGTACCATGCCTATGAGGGGCACAGCAAGGTGCATCAAGTACAGATGTCTGCTGAAGGATTTTGTAAGAGTTTAACTGATATTGACCTTTCTGCACTTCTCAATGTACCCAGGCACACTGTTGGTCATTTGTAAATATTTGTAATATTTCTAACTTGAATGATGTCACAATGACTCATGGAGTATGTGAGTGAATTTGATCATAAAGACTGCCAAAACCTCCTTCTCCAACATAAAGTTATTGCAAGGTCATTGAGACACCATCAAAAACAGAGGAACATCAAGATTTACTAAGTTCACATCCTTCACTTCATGAACATTTCAGAGAGAAATAAATTTCCCTGTATTCTATCTAGTCAATTTATTCTTAATGCTTTTCTCAGAGAAGATGAAGAATTCATTAGTCAATTTCATATCCCAGAAAATTTATTTTTTTCTTAATGTGTACTTTTTTCATCTTGAATTTCTACTTGCACTTTTGTGTCTCTAAAACCTGTAACCTTACATCTATTGAAGACATGAGTGTAAATTGTATCTCTACTGAGGTTTGTTTGTCATGTTCATAGAAGCCAAAGTTCACCTTCAGTTATGGATTAACTCTTCACCAGGAAATATTTTTATATGAATACATATCTTGGAATACAATGAACTCCTTTTTCTCTTCTGGCTTGAGTCATTCAAGAATGAGTGCCTTTGATAATTCTAGAAACCCACAAATCTGAGTTAGTCTTGGATTGTAAAGAGAGAATTGGCCTGGCCCAGCCTTTTGGGCTAATACCACAAGTAAAATAACAAAAAATCCATGTTTAAACCATAATGAATATGAGCGGAACTTCTAGTGGCCAACCAAGACCAGGCACACAGATCTTTAGAGGATCTACTTCTATCCAGTTCCAACAGGAACAGGGGCAATCATGAGAGTTCTCTTCCCTAAGCTACTATGTAGTTGATGTTATAAAGGGTTCTCATTAAATTCTGGGGCATACGAAAACATCCTGCTCTATGGCTGTGAAAACAGATTTCTCTGAAATATCTTAGAATTGGCAAAAGGACTATATACTTAGATGGCTCTTAGGGGAGTCCCAGGACATTTTTATATCCCAATTTTAATTAGAGTGTCCCTGACATATCTAAAACAAATACTTACATCTCCAAAAATATTTGTAGCCTTCATCTTATAAGTTGTGTCACCCTGTGCAGCAGCACCCTTTTCAATTCAGGGAATACTAGGTCAGTTTGGTTCTTGTTAATAGTAAACGTAATAATCCATATTGCTTGTGCCAATGTAGTCATGAGGAGTGTAGCCTTTCCTGTACTCTTAACCCTTTTTTGTAGACTTCAATTTCTTCATCTGTAAAATAAGAATAAAAATAGTAAGGCTGTTGTACAGTGTTATTAGCTTTTGCTAATTAATGTTGAATTTTTTTATAATGATGCCTAGCACAGTATAACTCAATAAGTAGAAGTCCCATGATGCTGATGAGATGTATTAATTTCTATACCTTCTCCTTTTCCCTACCCCTTAGTGTGGATATACATTCCCATGTAAACTATTAACTTGACAAGAGAGAATCTCTCTCTCAGCAGAGACTTTGACATTCAATACACTATTTTCTGGTAGCTTGGTTAGAGTCAGGGATACAGAGGGAATTTTATGGACCCTTTTTCTGATTCATCTGGCAGAAAGCGAGTTCTTTGATTATGACTCCTGCCGATGGTCAGCAATTTCCAAAGAGATCCTGAGATCAAGTATACTTGTATTTTATTCTGTGGATTTAAAATCGTAGACTGTAACAGACAGTATCCACATGAATTTGGAGTTTGTTAAGAATGTAGAATAACTGGCATGTCTTTCCTGTCTCCCTCTTCCACATAGGTTAACCTCAGAGCCACAGATGTCAGACTTATGCGTCAGTTGCTCCTCATCAATGAGAACATCGAGTCCATCAAGTGGATGATGGAGGAGAAAGCCACCATCACTAGCCGAGGCAGCAGTCTCAGTGGCAGTCTGTGCAGCCTGCTGGAGAGCCAGAGCACCTCCTTACGCGGCAGCTACAACAGCCTGCAGGATGGCAGTGATGGGCTAGATGGCATCTCTGTGGGAAGCTACCTGGACACTTTGGCTGATGATGTCCCAGGCCATCAGACCCCTTCAGACTTGGACCAGTTCAGTGAGGGCTCCATCATAGAGGACTCCCAAGCCCTACACAAGCCTCCTAAATTGGATTCTGACTACTACTGCTTTGGCTAATGACCCAGTTTTTTGCATGGGACTGGTGTGCAATTAACTTGTATGTATCCTTCTTCTCCGCTGCTATATTTTTGGTGTGATTTTGTAAAATAAGACAACCTTTTAAAAGAAGCTTATTTTTAAACTGCTTAATGACATTTCTGTTGCTCCTAATATTTCTCATCTAGACTGATTTATTTTTCTCTGTTACATCTCTATTTTTATTTATTAAAATGATTTTCCTCCCTTCTTTTAGAGTAGCACAAACAAAGTAGGGGGAAAAGAATAAGCAATAATTATGTTTTTGCTTTTGTTTTCAGAGCAAGGGGTCAGGGACTACAAGGAAAACTTTACTAAATTTTACAGTAAACCAAAGTATGAAAACTGTTAATTTTGTTGCTGTGTCCTTAAATGATTCAAGATTTTATCTTCCAAAAGATACTGAGGTCTATTACTGTTTGTAGATTAGGTTGCACAAACTTCTTGAACAAAATCAAGGGTGCCAATTATGGCACACTTTTACATGCCATCATTGGAAAGCCCCCAAGTGTATGCAACCTGATCACTTCACCTTTTTATTGATACTACACATTAGGATTTTGTCATCAGTCATTTTAACTCATATATTAGACATATCTGTCTGACAATATGTATTAGTATTTCAAATTTTGAGGAATATTGAGATCAGGTATGATGGTGATTAAAGGCAAATATGCCCTACATTTGGGATTTTGTTGGCGTTTTCTTATAAGCACTTTGCAATTCTACTGGGATGTCTAAACATATATGTGTATCTACAGATGGATAGATAGACAGCCACACAGGTAACAGATATCATAGGAAATCAGCATCTTTTATCCACTTATGAAGTCCACTTATGATATTTTTTCATCCTGGGAAGGATAAATAGTCTTTTAATTTTCTGAAATGATACTGGAAATATTTATAACTTATGCAGTGAGTGAAAATTTTAATTTTGATATTTTTAGTCCTCTACAAATTTTTATCTAGATGATTCCTAGTGAGACAATTTAATTAAAATTTCAAGCTGTTCTTTGTTACAATTTACAATATGAATCAAAAAAGTTTTCTTGCTTGTAAATGAGAAGTTTCCTTTTATTCTATACTCATTGCACACCTGGAAACTTATCATTTGTTTCCAAGACATATATTATTCAATTTACAATTAAAAGCTCTCAGTGCACATATTTTTCATTAGTTTTTTCCCTAAATTCTTAGGTATAATCCTCATCACTATAATCCCATAATGTCAGGATTGTCACTATTATAAGTTTAAGGAAACTGTGGCACAAAGAATGTGAGTCACTGCATTAAATCTTCCACTAAATGTCCAAAATAGAATTTGAATTTGACTCTGTTGTATTCCTATCACTGATACTCAATAACCTCTTTGCTTATTGACTTAAAATAATAAATGTGAGAAAGCAAATTTAAACCCATGATAAAAAAGTGTAGCAAACTATTTTCTGGTAGTATCCATGTTTTCCTATACTGAATCTACCAAGCTCTTTCTTGAAATCACGTGTACCAAATCAGTGTTATGCCTAGTGATGACTCAGAGAGGGAGCCACACAACAATGGTTTCTAACATAATCCTTTCTCTCTGTGTACTTTTATTTTCAACTCAGTAAAGGGTGGTTGGCTGGTTATTTGTTTGATTTTAATCTGGAATCAAACCAAGAAGTTTTTAGCACAGATTGTTTATCATATTAAAATTCAAGAGCACACATTGTGACCCAACAGAAAAAACAACCTCAGAACCAAGACCAATGAATTTCAAACAGAAGGTAGTGAAATATGTAACCATATGTCTACAGCACAGCAAAAAAAAAAAAAAAAATCCTTCACAAGAGGAAAGTGAGCAGACAGCAATGCAAGAGGAAAAAAGAGTGAATTCTAACCTCTTTAAGACTCAACATTTGGCTACAAGAAGCTATGTATATAAAAGACAATTTCTGCTCAGATCATAGATTCAGACTATGAATTCAGTATGAAGATTTTTTAAAATATATTTTTCTTTTCCAACCAGCTTCCCTGATATTTGTCCATACCTTCTATAAATTGACCTTGTATAGAATAGAAACTTTAAAAAATTATGAGTATTATGTAGAAGAAATGTATAGAATAGTTTTCAGTTAGAAATTATATTTTAAGAAAACTATAATGGACATTGGCAGAATATCTGAGAATAATTTTTGGCTCCATTAATAGTAAAAATTTTAATGTTTATATGCTTTATATTTATTCCAACTTGTTTCGCAAGAGATAGCAAATATTGATTGTATATACCAACAATGTTTTCATAGTTGATTTCATTAAGAGGAGGAGAATATGGTAATAAACAAGATTAATTACTAACATATTAATTGGTCTGAAGACAATGAATGCAAAGAAGTGCCTCAATTAAAATTGAAACTGAAGTTTAAAACTCAAGAATCCCTACAACTAATCTTGTACCTGAAGCACTTCATGTTTCATCTCTGTCAGCCCTATCAGGAAACAAGATAAAAAGTTAAAGCAAAGGTGTTGTGCAAACTCTTCTGCCTGCAATGAGTTATGTCTTTCCAGAGAAAATGGAATGTGCCTGAGTTACATTAATCTATTTTATGGACTTGTTAGTCTCCTATTGCAATGAAAATAATTGAATGTAAGGAATTCAGATAACTTAAAGCTAATACATTTCTCTTTGGCATTTTGCAAATTAAGGAGCTCTAGATCACCAATCACCTTAGAAGCCTTCACTTCAAGGAAATCCTCCTGTTTATCCTACCAGTCAGACTCAAATTACAAAGTACAAATTTTTAAGCATTAGTCAAGTTTAGAAATGCAATGAAGAGTCAGCAAGGGCTGTTGGATACATGATAAAGGCACTTGGGTCACCATGAAGAATTTTAGGCATTTGCTTCCCCAACACATCAAAACACAATCAAACCACCTCCATGATGCCAAAACAAATGGTTATTTCAAGATCCTCATCTTACTAACATCTCATCAGCAGTTTGGCACATTGGATGGTGTCTTTTTGGAAGAATGTCTTCACTTGGCTTCCAGTGACATCATTTCCTCTTGGATTCCCTCATTGCCCACTGCCTTCTTGCTCACAGATTCCTTTTCTGTTTCTCTTCTTCATTTTCCTGACCTCCATAAAGCAAGAGTGTTCCAGAGCTAAATACTCTTCCAAAACTGTTTCCCCCAAACCAAGGAATTCACCTAATTACAGAATTCTAAATGATGTCTATATGCTGAGATTTCTGGATGTTTATCTTGTGTCCAGTCTCCCTTCTTAACTTCAGTCTCCCATGTCTACCTTTCTTCAGAGCATCTCTACTTGATATCTGATAAGCACCTCACTCTAAACATTTCCAAAACTGTGAGAAATCTTACCCAGTTTTGTTAAGTGATGACTATCTTCATCAAATTCTCAGCCTGTTTTATTCAGCTTTCATTGTTGTGACCAAAATACCAGACAAGAAAAACAGAGAAGGAAAAGTTTATTTTAGCTCATGGTTTCAGAGATTCAGTCTGTGCTCAGCTCACTCCATAGCTCTGGGCCCAAGATGAGGCAGAACATCATGGTGGAATTGCATGGTTAAAAAAAAACAAAAGAAGCAGCAGCTGCTAAGGACATGGCAATCAGGAAGCAGAGAGAGAGAGAGAGAGAGATAGTGTTCCACTCACCAAGAACAAAATATAAACCCCAAAGGCACACCTCCAGTGACCTTCTTCCTGCAGCCACACCTTACCTATCTACAGTTACCCATCTCGTTAAGCCATATCAGTGGATTAATCCACTTATTGGGTTACAATTTTAATAATCTAATCAATTTATCTCTGAATGTTCTTGCATTGTCTCACACATGAGCTTTTGAGGGACATCACATACCAAAACCATAACACAACCCAAATCCTTAAAGTCGCTCTTATTCTCTTTCCTTCAAACAATATCCAACACTATTCTCTCCACTTCAGATGTAGATTGGGATTACAACAAATTCTCACCACAACCTCTACTGTCACTCTAACACATCTCCCTGGGACTAATGCAATCTTGTTTCTTTGCTTTCATCCTGATCTTGTCACTGTCAGTGCTTAACACAACAGAGTGATTTTACAAGATAAAACTCATATTTTGCCAGCCTATATCTCAAGCCTGTAATGGATTTCCATCTCTCTTGGAGTCTAACCCAGTTTTTTACTGTGGACTACGAAATCCTGGGCAGTCTGTCATCCTTGTGCCTATCTGGTCTCATCTGGTATCATCCCTCTCTCTTTTTTGTGAAGCCTCATTTGCATCCCTGTTATTTCTTAAAAACCTCAAAATCCTGTCCAGTATGGCAGTTCATGCTTGTAATTTCAGGGTGCTGAGGCAGTAGGATCACAAATCTGAGGGCAGCCTGGGAAACTTAGTAAGACCAGTCTCAAAAAAAAAATCAGTAAATAAATAAAAAAGCCTAGGGATATAACTCAGTGGTCAAGTGCCCCTGGGCAAAATCCCCAGTAATACAAACAAAAAGCCTCCTCAAAATGTTTATTCCAAACTCAGAATGTTTGCACTTCTCAGTTCTTCTTTCTGAAATGTTCTTCTGCTCTTCGTTGGTAAACCTTGATTCACAGTCCTTTATCTTCAATCAAATGGCAGCTTGCCTGAGAAGACTTCTTCCATAATAAGCTGACACTTCCTGTGCTCTTTACTATGGTTTACTTTTCCTCATAACCCTTACTGTCATTATTGTATATTGTGTGTGTGCTCTTTGCTTCTCTACACTAGGATGCAATGAAAATAAGTTAATTCTGCTCATTTCCACATGTCCCATCGCCTAGAATAACATCTGTCACACAGTAGGTACCAAATAAATATTTTTTGACTGTAGCAATTTTTGAACATTTGCTGAATGTCTTCTAGGCACATTTGACTGTGCCAGGTTGTGGTGATGCAGAGGTGAGGAAGATATAAATCCCATCTTCAAGGAGCTCATTTGTTCAGTGGGTTTCTCTGGTAGGAAGAATATGTTCCTCATTTCCACCCTGGAGCTGCCCATGTCCTAATCAGTGACCATGTGAATATATTACCCTGCATGGCAAAAGGGACTTTGAAGATGTGATTAACGACTTTGGAATAAAGACCCTGGATTATCTGAGTGAGGATTATAACTGAGAGGAAAGACTGTCATAGAGAGAGAGAGAGAGAGAGAGAGAGAGAGAGAGAGAGAGAAAGAAAAGGAGAGAGAGGTGTTGAAAATGTTCTAGTTAGCTCTTCTGCCACTGTCTCCAGAAGACCTGATAAGATCCATTTTAAAGGAGGAATAGTTTATTTGGTACTCATAGTTTCAGAGGTCTCAGTCCATAAATGGCTGATACCATTGCTCTGGGCCCGAGGTGAGGCAGAACGTCAAAGGAAAAGGATGTGACAAAGGAAAGCAACTCAGGATATGACAATCAGAAATCAGAAAGAGCTCTGCTCACAAAAAAAATTATATATATATATATATATATATATATATATATATATATATATTCATATTTTGTTTATAATTTATATATAAGGCACAACCTGAGTGACCTACCTCCTCCTGCTCATAGTTACCACCCAGTTATTCCATTCAAATGAATGAATGCACTGACTAGATTAAGGATCTCATAACCCAATCATTTTATTTCACCTCAAAACTTTCTCTCATTGTCTCACACATGAGCTTGTGGGAGACACCTCATATCTAAACCATTACAAATGCTATACTGCTGGCTGTGAGACCAGAAGAGGCCATGAACCAAGGAAAGCACATCAGGGTACAAATTCTATTTCCAAGCATGCATTTTATTAACTAGGGTATAAATCTTAAACTATTTCTATATAATTCCAGTTATGATTGTTTAAATTTTTAGGTGATTGTGTCCATTAAACACCAACCAACACTCAAATATTCTCACCTATCATTGTGTAGCATATTTAAGCCATGGCCTGGGTGAGTTAAACCAGAGCCAGTACTGGAATCCCATCTACCTGTATTTGACTGCTAGTTAAATTCCAAACATTGCCCAAAGTTGGCATTCCTTCAAGTCTTAACATCATGTGCAGGACCTGTTTATCTAATGTGGGAGGGAGAATTGTCAGAGCCTGTGTTATTTCATTCTTTACTAATAAGAGATCTTGTACCAATAGGGAACTGTATGCATTCTTAATGTTTTTAGATTGTTCTCAGAGCAATTTACTATCATTATTTTTACATCAGCCAAATCCACCTATAAATCAAACACACGTATAACTATCAACTCTGCATTTTTTCCCTAGCACAAAGGAGTCAGAAGATCCCTAACTCCTTTGTAAGCTGATACATTCCAGCTTTTCACTTGCCCTTTTCCTCAAAGCATTCTCTGTGAGATTTTAATTGAAGATTTTAGGTAAAATTATAGCAAGGACTCCCTCAAACAACCTCAATATCTTTCTATCATAAAATATTTACAGAGTTGATTGTGCACAATATGTCAGACCCTCAAAAAAATGAGGTTTTAAAGAATGTTGAGATCTTTTGATGTTGAATCTGCAAAGACTGAGAGAACATGCGAAATGGTATCTCTTTTGGCAAATAAAGAGAATAAGACATTTGGGGGCGACTAGTACCATGTGATGGACAGTGTGACCAAATAATCTTTCTAAACTGATCCACACTTGCAGCACAGTGAATGATTCAAGGTGTCTTAATGCAAAATCAACAAGCAAAAATAATTAATTCCATTTGAAATTCAAATGATGCAATGTAAAACAAAAGAAAGACACTTGAGTAGAGAAATGGCATAGTCATCATCATCAACATACAATTAATCAGTGCTATAAAGTATTAAGGCTTTGATTTTGGAGTATCTCCATTCTGAGAATTACTAGATGGTGAACTTGAAATAAGTAACTATTTCTTTGCATCTTTGTTTTCTTATTTGTAAATAGGCATAATGAAACCTGTCTCATAGAATTGTTGGAGAATTGATTAATATTTGAAAGTGCTCAGAATATCTCTTAGCACACAGAAATGCATGGCAAATGATGTTGCTACATGCCTATAATAAATAATTAAGTAAAAATTGTTTATATATTAAAAGAGAAGAAATTAGGACTGGTTAATCATAGTGCATACAGCTTAAGTATGTACATGGTGGCATAACTAATCTGATCATTATTTCCAACCAACTCCTCTTGTGACAGACGAGTAGAAGTTAGTCTTATTCGGGGTTGCCCTCATATATATAAATCAGTCTGAACTCAATATTTTGAGGTTCTCACATGCTTATTTCCTATGCATTTGTAAAACTCTTAAAGGAAAAGGCATTAAAATTGCAACTTATATTTCAAGATTATTAACACACAGTGCC